AAAGTACAGAAATCCGACGCAACAGGTGGCGAAAGGCGATTACTGGCCGGCACGTAATGCGCACATGAGAACGCCACACGTGCTGCGGTTCGTCGGGTCATTTGGTCACTCGAGTGGTCATTCGCAAAGTGGTCTGCAAACCGGGCAAGTAGCAAATCCCGCTGGACATTACGTCACATCCTCATCTGGCATTCCCGGAGGAATTGAAATATATCTTGCCCCTGAGCGAAATCGGGCCCTCGCAACTGCCCGTAATCACCTCGACCTTTTTAATGTCGGCGCATGGTACCCCGGATAAGTGACAATTAGCCTGGTACGTAACCTGTGCACTCTCCGTATACCATGTGTAGGAATCGCTTTGGGTGACCCCATGACGAGTGAAACCCCTCCGCAATGTCCACTTATCTCGGACTAAATGATGACAAATGGAGATGAATTTAATATCGAGATCGCAGACAATAGATCGTTGCATCTTTCTAATACTCTTTCGCGATAGCGTCGATATATCGACGAAGATCCCGACTATCTGGAGGTAAAAGTCAATTAGAGTGAAATTGAAATGAGATCATTGCAGAGGATGGTGAATTTTTTTTCGAAGGATTGTGCATACTCAATTTGGCACTTTGTCGTGATCTTACATAGCGTTCATTCGAGGGCGCCTTTGAAAACTGCATTTAGTGGAAGATAAATCCCGCCGGTGGTTGGCTTTACTTTTTTTTTTTTTAATTAAAAATTGAATCGAGCGAAATTAAATAAAAAATAAAATTCCCGCGAATAATGGATTCTTTTAAATATTCCAATCGTGAGATCCGTGTAGCCGTCTCGTCGCGTGTCGATTCTAACGCACCTTAGAAAAATCCCCACGCACCGACAAAAATCGCTTTGCTTTAAATTGAAAATAAAATTTATCGAAACCAAATCAAGATTAAAATTCTCGCGAATGACGAATCTTCTTAAGTATTTCAATTATGACATTCGCGAAGTCTTTTCGTCGCGTGTCGATTCTAGTGCACCTTCGAAAGATTCGCATTCGGTGATAAAAATCACCCCACCGTAAGTTCAATAAAGTTGAGTGACTCTAAATTAAGATTAAAATTCCTATGGATGATGAATCCTCTTAAGTATTACAATGACGACATCCAAGGAGGCATCTACATGACCATATCACGTGTCGTAACTATACCGCGTTTGCTGACGCGTGCTCGGAGGTGAAATTTCGCTGAACCGGCAAATGCCGTTCCAACAAGACCGGGTATGAATGAGACTTATGCGGCAAACACACTCGACACTGTTTATACCGATCGAGTGTCTCCTGAAATTAGTCCGTAAAGCCGCGGGAAGGGAAAATAAAAAAAAAGAAAGAAAGAAACTAAAAGAGTCCAAATCCAAGATGGCGAAAATCTCGGCGCAGTTTCGAGCGGCACTTCTTTGGCAGCCCTCGGGCCACTTGGCAAAGTGGACCGCCGATTTTCGAATACGAGGTAACGAGACGCGCCCGAGGGAAACATTTAACCGCGTTTCGACGCAGTTATTTCGTGAAAAGTATTCTCCCCGGTTCCTATTTCCGCCCGGCGTGGCGAAAGGGTCGATCGTCGGAAGTCGCCCCCAGTGGGGGGGCGGCTAATTGCGCGCGAAATTGTATGCAGATCGACCCCCCGCGGCGAGCCGAGGTGAATTAATTGAGAAATAATTGAAACGAGGGAGAGGGGGCCAGGCTCAATTTGGCCTCCTTTCACGGATCGTTCCCTCGCGATCGACCCGCCGATTGAGGTTTCTGAAGCCGTGAATCATTTCTCAGGGAAATCATTTTATCGGGAAAATTACACCTCTCCTAGACACTTCCGGAGAAAATCGACTTCCTCGTGCGTGGCGCGAATCATTAAACGACGTCTAATGCGCGGTTCGGATTTCTTCTTTTTTTTTCTTTTTATTATTATTTTTTTTTCCTTCGTTCGAACACTCGAAAGTTTACGCAAGCTTTATTTCCGTACCGCTTAGGGAGCGCAAAGGGTCAATTGCCGAAAAGTGGCAATAAAGGAAAGTCCCCGCGTCGGGACACGTCGATCATAATTTAGTATTCGGCGAACGGGCTATATTTATGTCCCGATGGAGAAATACTAGTACATTGGCGCCGTAATGTGCGGGCTCGGGGTGCTATTCCCCTTATGTACTGCCATGGATTCGTACGAGTACATGACTCTATGTACCGCTGGCAATGAATCACAATGCTGGACTCGAGGTCGTTTTCTGGCACATGACGTTCGCACGTGTACCCGGTGGGACGTTTGAAAAAGTCCCCGGCTAATCATCGGAAATCTATCCTATTATTTTTTACGCACAGCCTGGAATATTTCAATTGAGATGAAAAATTCGGGAAAATGGAATTCCCCCTGTATATCATTTTTTGGGAATTATCTCTGAAGTCACTCGTGCGACGATCTCGAGAATGGCCTGAAAAGTTTATACAAAGTTCCCGTTCTCCTCTCCCCTGTACAACCGATGATATTCCACCTGGAGTGGAAGAATTAGAAGAATGAATAAATATGCAAATCGGCGGGTTTATTATTATCTTTTTTTTTCTCGGATTTTTTTTTAAACGGTAATCAGGAGTACTTGGGAATTTTATTCCCGGTCACCCGTGCGACGATCGCGAAAATAGCGGAGAGACTCCGCCATTTCTTCCCTTTCCCCCTCTTTCTTTGATCCGAAATTTATGCCGCCGACTTGTAACGGGGATTATTTATTACTTTTTCCTTCCCGCCTCTCTTCGGGACTGGCGTCTAAACTCCCACGCGAGGACATTGTCGTGGGCGGCCGTCTAATTCCGTTCCCCCAAGGAGGCGTTACGTGTCGCTTATACGAATAAATGTGCACCGAGGAAATGCAATTACCGGATTTACGTAAGCCCGGCGGCTCGACTAATCGACCGATCGGACTCGTTATCACGACATGTCTGTTACGAGGTGAGGGTAATCTACATGGATATCGTGCACTAATGCGAATCCGATATCTACGCGCCGATTTTCCGGGTGCACTGATAAACCGCGAAAAAAAACCGCAATAGTGGATATAAAATTAGGATTGAAAAAGGATGTAAAATTATTATCCTGATATCTGAATAGTTCACAGGAATACGAGTGACACGAGTATTTGCATCCAGATCTTTAATTTTCAATTTTTTCTTCTTACGCATACGTAGCGACAGTGCCGTAATTAAATTAATTGTTATCAATCGTGATACAATTTTCCGGACTTCGGTCGTGGAAAAGGGAGTATAAATATTAGCGAATTATCCTAACATCTGAGGAGCACCGGAGATACGAATTTTTGGATTCTAATTTTGTGATTCTAATTTCCTTTTCTTTTTTCGCGAGGTGCGAAAGTAGAGCCATTGAGTCAATTATTATTAGACAATGATATCATTCTCCTCGAGTGATAAGGCAATAGTGAGTTCAAAAATAGCAGATTATCCTGATATCTGAAGGGTTCCAGAAATACAAACGATGTCACTGGGATCATGATTTTTTATAGGAGTTGCAGGAGTAATGCTGTTAAATTCATTATTATTAATAATTAATGGCATCGTTTAATTTGTAGAACATCTTTGGCATCGATAGATGAAGTGGTTGTAGCATTTTTCGGGTCGGTAAATGTACTGATATGTAATTAAAGAATGTCCCAAGTACTTAATATGTACCCGTTTGACGATCATACATTGGCAGGGGAACTCATTACGTGTCCGATCGATCGGTTTTGGCAGAGTGAAAGAAGGGTCATCTCCTTTGCATACTTTTCAATGAGTACAATGTTCATGAGTCCGAGTCGATGTCACTTGCCAAAGAAATCTCTCATCGAGCAATTACCTCGACATACTCAAGTGCGCCTAAGCGGCGCCTAAAATGCTCGTGTTTGTTATCAGCTGATTAAATGCGTCGGTTTAGAATAGGCGATAAGAGGCCTTTAACCCAAAGAATCCCTCTCGATGCACCAGAACTTACCTTAAATACCGTGAATTACGCACATACCGACTTTACTCTAAGTACTACGGCATACAAGTCGTCCCTGTTACATACGCGAAAACGTCATAATTCATGGCAGCAACAAAAATATCAAATTTACACGTCCCCAACTATAAAAAGACGGTGACTCACCGACCGTGAATACAGTCGTAACGCCACACTAATTGTAAGTGTCACTATTTTTCAAAAAAAAAAAGAGAGAGAGGAAGCAAAGAAAAATATCGGGAATTAATCCTTGACCCTCCGTTATTGCAATTCCTCTAATTAACAGTACATACGATCAATGGGAATTCCAAAAATCACGTCCGTGACCAGAATGTTAATAACATTCATAAAATCTATACACTTTGAGTACGTAACATTTTAATAAAATTGTTAATCTGATCCTTTAAAGATGAATTACCCTTTGTAGCAACGAATGTTTCTTCGAAGAACGATAAACATTCGACTGTGGCTACGAAATTATTTGCTAATTTAGAGGAAGAGTTGTTATTTTAAAAAACCACTCCTATGGTTACATCCACGTTCTATACAATAGCGAATATCTTTGCTGTCAGTGCACTAATTACTGCAGTCAGAGGGAAACTTGATATCAACCGCGCGGTTCTTTGCTAAAAATGCAAATGTCTTTTATTTCCTTGCGACGAACGCTGTAGAGTTAGGATTACGTAATTGTTTTCTTCTTTTCTCTTAATTTGGACATTACGAGTTTACGAAAAAGTAAGAAACAATTAGTACGGGCTCTCATCATTGTCGGGGCTTCGCGTAATCAGAATGCGCGGGCATGCGCGGGGTGATAACAGATACCTCGCGTCGCGTAGGTACATAGAGAGGCGCAGTCCTAATTGTAAGTACGGAGAGACGGCAAGTTCTAATTGTGAGTACGGAGAGGCGCTTTCGCAGTGGTGTCTAAGTACTCGGGCATACGGCCGTTCCTCGGGTTTGCTCTTCCTATTTTCGCCCCCAGGCGTATAAAAGGAGTCAGGGCGGTCTCGGGCGCGGTTTGGCACCGGTCCTTGGGTTTCTGCGTCGCGGCGCGTCGCGGCGTCGAAGTCGTCCCGTTCCGCGGACGCGATTAGAATCGCGGAATCGCCGGTAGTCGCGGCCCGATCGCCGAGGGGAGCTCACCTCTCCTTAACCGTGGGTTTAAAAGTCGCCGATAACGCAGTACGGTATTTGCAGTCGGGCCATGCGCCTGCCGTGGTCGCACCTCCCGGTGGCGTTTGCGGTTTTCCATTCACAGACCTAGAGAATCGTCGAGGAAACGCGAAGGAATTGAAAGAAGCAATAAAAAAGGAAAAAAAAGAAGGAGGAGGGGATAAACCTTATCGGTGCGCTTTCGAGGGCGTTAAAACTAAGATTTAGCGCTACCTCGTGGAATTTAACTGGGGAGGTGGGTGGGAAGAAATAGGGAATAATTATCAAATCGAGAGAGAAGTTGAAGATCACTATTTGGGGTCTTCGTCGAGGTCCACGTGGAGCCCAGGGAGACCACGTGGGTCGGCCTTGCCCTTGGAGCGGGTGGGTGGGAGTGGGTGGTGACCGCCTGGAGGAGGTTTAATCTCTTGGATTTTTTGGAGACGGTTAGAGATTTGGTTTGGAGGAAGGGGGAGAATAAGGATTGATAATCTGGGGGAAGGGTGTAAAGATTTGATAACGATTGCTGGGCCACCGGAAGGGAGAGCGAGAGCTGCCACGTGGTCTCGAGTGGACGCCGAGCGTCGTTGGGTTCGTCGGCCGGAGACGGCGGCGGGGTTTAAAAAAAGGCCAGGAGGAGAGGAAAAGGCGCGAAATCCCGAGGATACGGCGCCTAACGGATCGTATAACGCCGTGGCACTATTTCTACGTCTGACGGAACGAGGAACCCGGAGCGACCAGCGATGGAACGGCCTCTAGAGCATAAATAGCGCCAGGCCAGGCGTCGTCGCTCGAGCAGCGACGAGCCAAAGAGAAGTGCGTCGGCTTTGGCTGGTAACGCCGCGTTGTTGGCTCCTCGGACTAGCAATGCCGTTCAGCGATCCCTTTGTTTACGGAACTACCCCGGAAAGGTAGCTAAACCCGAGTCAGCGACGATAACCACGACCGATAACGGCAGCAGTCTCTTCGGGATCCAGCGATACCTCTGGCGGTTCTACTTTAGTGCGGCAACGACACATCGTTACTGAATTCAGCAACGCCGTTAAGCGATCCTTTTGTTTTCGGAACCGCCCAACGAGACCATCTGCGACTCTGCTCAGCAATGACAACGTTGTTACGATTACTCATTTAGCAACGGCGGTACTTCGTTACTCTGGGATTCAGCGACGTCGTTTAACGGCGTTTACTGGATATCAGATACCTTCTACGGCTCGAGTTCGGAGGATCTACAAGTCAGTTGTTTGAGAGGATCAATGTATTCAGCAATTAGGAGTTCTCGTTAACGCGGAATCGATCGTTGGTGCGGTTCAGGAACGGTGTTCATCCGTATTCCACGTTAACGGCCCCGTTGGGGAAGCATTGCGCATTCGTGGTATCGGGGGAGGGTGATTTAGTGATTTCGTTGGGCAACCAGTTTCCTGGATTAACGACGCCGTTTAGCAACGAGGTCCCCTCGTTAAACGGCGCCGTTCGGGGCAGTGATTCCTGGCTTAACGGCGGCGTTTCGGAGTTTTGCGGGGGTCGGGGAGTGCTGTTTAATGACGCTGACGCGACGCAGGCGGTCCTCGTGAATCAAACGAATGCAGGGCGGGCAGGCAACGACGTTATCAACCGCGCGCGATAACCCACGCACGGAAAACTCGAGTTCAAGGACGAGGCGGAGGGAGCAAGATGGACGGCACGGATAGCGACTTCGACGTGGAAATGGAGATCCTTCCTCCGATGCATCCTGCCAACCTCCCGACGATCGGGGTGAATTCTGCAATCCGTTACTCCACAATTTCTCGTTATATATATGTGTTATATATATTTTATATATTGTTTAAGGGGATATGAAAGTGATATCCGAATGAAACTTTTCCCCAGACCGGGTCCACCTGATCGTCTCAAAATTTTACGATGTGAATATCGAGGCTCTAACGAAAGTCCAGACACTCGTTAAATTTCATTTTTTTTATATATATATATATATAACAAAAATTGGAAATTTTGCATAAAGAAATTTTTTAAATTTGAATTTTCATGCGTAGCAAGACCCTCTTTATGGTCTCCATACTCACAGGTTAAGTCTCGGATTATTCGATGCAAGTTTAATTAATCTTTTGAGTTATTGGTATACATAGATGTCACTTGCATAATGCCTTAACGCTTTAGAAAATGTTAAGAAATTGTCGAAGAATGATGAACGGAACGAAACGCCGAAATCAGGAAAATTGTGCACTTTTGTTATCATATTAGCAAATTAATGCTCGTTGAGCAACGTCGACCTTTATCTTTGCAGTGTTATTTGCTCCGCCGTTAACGACACTCGCGGTGCACCGAGTAGATTCTTTCGACCTACTGCCGATTTCGGAGTCGTCCTGAATCGGTATAAATTGCCTAATCAGCCTAATCGATCTAAATCGGCCTCCAATTGTCGGCAGACTGCGTTAAATGCGTGCGTTGCGCGTGCATTACGCGTGCTGTCCTTGTCGCATCCGCTTAAAGCTACCTAACCTGAAATGAATTTGCCGTTTCTTCACGGCGAAACATTCCCTATTTTATATTACTTTATCACGCACTGATTAAAGGGTTTAATAGGGTGTCGAATTGATTTTAACCAAAATTGTATTTAAAGCCGAGCGAAAAGGTTTGAGTAAATATTCGATTGTTTCATTTGACATTGTAAAGAAACTTTGAGACAGAAGTTATAGACATTTCAAAATGGTGGACTTTCCAACACCTTAAATTCTCTGTTAACCACCGAATAAAATAACCCCGTCGCCCCAAATATTTCCTACACCTTTTCGTTCTATTTTAAAAATCCACCTTGATTGAAACGCTTTTCGCAACTTTCTACCTTAACAGCCTTAAGGCGACACGAAAGTGACGTCCGATAGTCTCGTTTGTGAGACTTTCCTCGAAACTGGGTGTCGTGTGAAATTTCACCACGTTAATACGTAGGCCCTGCGAAGGGTCTTGACATCCGCGAAAGTTAATCTTCCGTTCAGTTTATTTATAAACATTTCTCCCTCTTTTTTTCTTTCATTGAAAAAAATCATACGACGTCTCGTATATAGGTATTCGCCTTCTTCATACGTTTGCTGATGCGCATTTCTTTCTTTTTCCAGAAAACACCCATGCGTCCAATGATAGCCGAATACGACCCAAAGAAGCACGGGGTGAAAACAGAACTCTCTGACATGGTTCTCGTCAAGTAAGTGTTCGTCCGGGTTCCACGTTTAACGCAAAACCGACGCGAAAGAAAGACACTCGGCAGCTCTAATCGAGCGATCTCGCTCTACCTCTGCGACCTATCATCACCATTGCTTTATTGCCAAACCCCCGTAGTCAGTGCTCGAGCAAACGTGAGTGACTTACGAGGATCATATACTTTGCGTTAACTTGGCTCTAGGTGGCTCCTAATTCATTAAAATGTGTCTGAGACACCCCTTGCTGCACGCATACTGCCTGATCGCCAGTGGAGCAAATCTCGCCGAGTCCGCCATGACAGTTGGTTACACGAGGGCCGCAAAATCGAGTCCGAGGGAACGAAAAAATGGAGAGAAAAATAGAGAAATATATTAATTAACGATCGAGAAGTCGCACACCCACGCAATGGAATTACGCAAAATGGCCAGATAGACCAGAGGCATACTTTCGTTAACGCTGTAGACGCATTTAAATATACATGAGATATGTTAAATATCAAATGCATAGAGGCCCACGTGTCCACGTGGACGTACGGGTATAAATATACGGATATATCGTATATGCCTTAGAAGGCCGTAGAAAGGATCTCGAAAGTCGGCTAGATCATGTATGTATGTACACGTGAATCAATGTACTGGGAAATATACAGAAGTACGGGGCTCCTTAAAAAATAACGGCCGTAGAAAGGGTAACCGTGGGCGTGGGCGATAACGATCGTTGCTCCTCGTTAGGTTATCTAGGGTCGAGCTGCTCGGCGATATATGGCAACGATTAAATTCCATCGAACCGGGGATTAGATTAATCGCGTCGGATTTAATCATCACCTCCGATATAGCGCGGGTGCACTTTAGAGGGAGGTTTATAGCGCGCCGCGCGTTGGGAAACGCCGTTTTCGCCGCGGTATTTATTAAATCGGATTAGGTTTTTCATTTTTTTTCCTCTTTCTCTCTCCACTACTACTTTTTCCATTTTTCTCCGATATCTTTCTCTCGTCGCTCGCTACGTAGTTCCGATCGGGAAAACAAGACTGATCGTAGAGGCGAACGGAAACGTACAGGAGTGATAACGCGCGATTGATACGCCGAGTTTTAAGATTTTTCCCGGACGCGGATGGAGAGGCGGTTCTTTTTTTTTTTTTTTTTCTTTCTCGAAATTGACATATTCATCGGGTGTTGTGGAGGGGATGACGTTAATTCAAGAGATGCAGGGAGAATTAAGGATGGCAGTCTCGGCTCCTCCTCGTTAACCGAAAGATATTAAAGAGAAAGAGAATAAGATAAATGGCTCCTGAGAGATCGCGCGGTATGCGACCGGGGCCTTAGAGCCACCAATTAACGAGCCGACATCGAATTAACTATCCGACATCTGTCTTTATTGTATAATATGTGCATTTATATGATTCCAGACGTGCGTAGAGTCCGGGCATAGATTCGGGCTCTGCAAAAACGACAATGAAAACGTAATGCCGATGCACGGAACGGAGAGTCGTGCGGAGGTCCGACCGACCGACGTTGACGAGTAGAGGGGACGGAATTTCTTTGCCATTGTTAATTAATTAAGAAAAGAGGAAAGAGGTCCGACCGACCGACGTTGACGAGTAGCGGGGACGGAATTTCTTTGCCATTGTTAATTAAGAAAATAGGAAAGAGATAAATATGATACGGATACACCTGACGGACGGAGTGACGTTTACGGACGGACGGGGAGGAGGAAATTTATCTGACGTTACGGGGACGGCGAAAGTATGGGGGAAAATGAGAAAAAAGATTTTCATGCAGGTTAAATGATATTACACTGAGTGATGAATATTCCTTAGAGGATGAAATCAATTTTCTCTCGTAAGCGCTGCAAGTCGAACGATGGAGATCTTTTCATCAGGCGGAGCTGATTTCGCGATAAAAAGAGAAAATGGGTAGAAAGTTGACCCCAGGAATCGAAAATACATTCAAGTAACATTATCTTTTAAGAGAAAATGGATTTCACTTCGGCACGTTTGTATGCAGAGGAGTCCAATGATAACGAATGACAAAGGCTTGATGAAGCTAAATTCAATGGCACATCTTCTTGATAACGTCAAGTGAAAATCTCTTTTCATCGGGACGATTCCTTTTGACATGGAAATTGATTTTCTCGCTCAGTGTAGGGGTGGGACCGAGGGGCTATTCACTCGGAAATCAGTGCGATAACGATTTTTCCTTATCGAGAGCCGGCCTTTGATTGCATACTACGAACGACGATGCGATTCGGTAAAAAGTGAGGTGAAAAAATTGGTGGGAATATTTCGGTGATTTCGAACGATTTCCAGGGATTTACTCTGTCATTGAAATCCATGATTTCCCGAGTAAATACCCCCTCGTGGGGTAACTAATGACGCTTATTGACGCGACATTTGCACGACTCTAGACTTAGACGGGGGTCGATCCTGGTCGTCGATCGGCCGACTATCTCGCCATTCCGTGGCAACCGCTAAAACGCGTAGGCCCCTAATGTGAAGCGCAATCACTATCGTGTAATCAGGGCAATTGTCACTCGTCGTACTGCGTCGTGGCGCTGGGCGTCGGTGATGCAGTGCGGTGGTTGCAGATGCTACTCTAGGCGGGAATAGCGCCGTTATCGCGTCCCGCGACACTGACTCGGTTCGGGGCTTTCTACCACAGAAAGCTCCTATCACGGCTAAGGAGAGAACCTACCGCACCTAACGGGTACCTACACACCTATACGATTTAATACCTAATTACCGTATTCTGCGTAGACTCTGTCCGGCCCTCGCCGGAGACCCCAGGGACCCCCCGCGAAGTGCTCGGGAATCCGCGGAAACGGTCACGTGTGTCGTCGGAAATGATTGCGAATGGCCACGGGTATCGTCGGTAATGATTGCGAATAGTCGCGAATCGCCGGAAATAATCGCGCAATCGGTCGTTATCAGTCGGGAGGGAACGCGCCGATCACGGAAGAGCTCACTGATCGGCTCCTCTCGGCTCAAACTTCGGCAGATACTCAAAAAGAAGTCGGATTTCCGATAATTCAATATCAATTCGAATTCCTCTCCACTCGGTTTTCCTTTTTTTTTTTTTGAAGGATCTCGGAGTACCCGCCCGCAGGAAAATATTTCCTCGAGTTGGTACAATCTTCTTCTCAGTTGATCCAAGAACGCGGGTTATTTAAAATAAACGAAATGCAGCCAATTAAACGATTACCATCGAAGGGCCAAATTTTTTTATTCACGGGTGCCGTTCCTTTTTATTGCCGAGTTGTTCTTGGGTGGAGTTCCATGAATTCGAATTCGAGGTGGAGGGTGCACCGAATCGCCATGTTCGGGCGATCTAGTGGATTTAACGAGATAATCGTTTATCGCAATCCATTCCAAGTCGAATCAATTAGCGTTACAATTGTAAAGGATTTGTTTGGTTGAATTTATTAATGCGAACGAGCCTTCGCGAGAGGAGCCCCTCACGAGCGCGATTCGCCGGAAAGTTGGCCGAAAGAGAAACCGATAACGATAGAGTCCTTTGTCCACCTCTCGGCTTTCGATCATCATCCTCGCGAGGTGTAGATTACTTTCCTCGGAGGAAATCCCCGCGATAAGCTTGCCTGCTCACCTTGCAGCCTCGAGCGAGCCTCTCGATGCTCTCTTTTGACATGCGTTTGTTACTACTCGCTCTCGCAGCCCCATCGCCACCTTCGTCGTCGCTCGCTACGATACTTTTATCCCCGAGTGGTCCCGCCCTAGGGACCCTAGACTAACGCGTCCGGTGTTGCAGATACAAGTGCGAGAAAAACGAGGTGCCCATCACGGTGACCAACGGCTCGACCTTGCCCCTGGTCCAGCGACCGGTGGACGACGAGGAGGCGGCCTTGTACAACCCCTTCGAGCACCGGAAGTTGGGCCACCCCACGTCGGACCTCGACACCCTGATCCACCTGCTGAAGGGAAGTCTGGGCACGGGGATCCTCTCCATGCCGCTGGCCTTCAAGAACGCCGGGCTCACCTTCGGCCTCTTCGCCACCTTCTTCATCGGCGCTGTCTGCACCTACTGCGTGCACATCCTGGTGAAATGTGCCCACGTCCTCTGTCGGAGGACCCAGACTCCCAGTCTAGGGTTTGCCGAAGTCGCCGAGGCCGCCTTCCTGGTCGGGCCGGAACCCGTGCAGAAGTACTCGCGGCTTGCCAAGTGAGTTGACTCTTGACGTACACATGAAAAAGAAGAACAATTTATTAGACTTCATTTGGGTGAAATAATGATCCCTTAAATTAGCAATTCAAAGTCGAGTTTTATCGTAGAATTGTGAATCTTGCTCGGGAATTAAAGTACCTCGAGGTTGAATCATAACGTAAGCGCATTCTAGGAGTTGCAATAATGCGAGGTGTCCTCGCACTTGTGGTCGGTGCATCCCATTATTGCCTCATCAGGATGCCAGGGTTCCGTTTGAGGGTCGAGGTCGCCCATTAAATGAATAAGTTGAATGAATTGAATAGAATTATTCCCATGCTAACTATCTTCTCCTCGGATCCAAGGGCGACGATCAACTCCTTCCTCGTGATCGACCTGATCGGGTGCTGCTGCGTCTACGTGGTATTCGTCTCGACGAACGTGAAGGAGGTGGTGGACTACTATGCCGCCACCGACTGGGACGTCCGGCAGTACATGGCGATGCTGCTGCCATTCCTGTTGATCTTCTCCCTGGTCAGGAATCTGAAGTATCTGACGCCTTTCTCCATGGTGGCCAACGTCCTCATGGCGACCGGAATGGGCATAGCGTTTTTCTACATCTTCAGCGACCTGCCGAGCGTCAGCGAGAGGCCCAACTTCTCTAGCTGGTCCCAACTGCCCCTCTTCTTCGGCACAGCGATATTCGCCCTGGAGGGCATCGGCGTGGTAAGACCAACCCATCGATCCCAAAACATGGCCAATGAACACCCAACAGGCTCCCTAAAAAAAAAGAAGTTTCGTTTCGAGTCGTCCAACTTTCATCGGGTTTCTCTTCCCTGCTTCATCGAGGCCAGTAGATCGGGACGGACGCAGTCCACGTCTACTATCCTCGCCATATTTATCCGCAAGTCCCGGTCGACAAATCCCCACACTGGTCCATCGCGAATTGCCCATTCGAGGCGACAGACCGAGCCCTGGATCCCGTAACCGACTCTTCTTCTTCCTCCTCAGGTGATGCCCCTGGAGAACAACATGAAGACCCCGACGCACTTCATCGGGTGTCCCGGTGTCCTAAACATCGGCATGTTCTTCGTGGTGCTGCTCTACAGCACGGTGGGCTTCTTCGGGTACCTGAAGTACGGCGATCAGACGGAGGCGACGATCACGATCAACCTGCCCCAGGACATAGCCGCGCAGTCGGTCAAGGTGATGATCGCCGTGGCGATCTTCCTTACGTACGGCCTGCAGTTCTACGTCCCTATGGAGATCATCTGGAAGAACGTTAAGCACTGGTTCGGCGCCAGGAAGCTGATGGCGGAGTACGGTCTTAGAGTTATCCTGGTTACGTTCACGGTCGGCGTCGCGATAGCCATCCCGAATCTGGGTCCCTTCATCTCCTTGGTGGGCGCCGTCTGCCTGTCGACCCTGGGTCTGATGTTCCCCTCGGTGATCGAGCTGGTCACCTTCTGGGAGCAAGAGGACGGTCTGGGGCGCCTCAACTGGCGGCTCTGGAAGAACCTGGCTATCATTTGCTTCGGCATCCTGGGCTTCCTCACGGGGACCTACGTCAGCATCGAGGAGATACTCGCGGCGAAGTGAGGCCCACTCGTCGAGCGTCCCGACGACGGGCCCCGTCGCCGGGTCGCCTAGAAGATCGCCGGTAGACGAGGTGTATTTCGCGCTTGTGCCGCTTGCTCGACGCGACCTGTCGTAGACGCGCGCCGGGGAGGGAGAGAGATGTCCTCCTGGTGAGCTGGTAGCAAGGATGCGTCTTCCGGGGACACGGAGGGTGGTCCCAGGGGCCCGAGCGTTCCTAGACATCCCGAAGCATCCCGAGACATCCAGAGACGTTCCGAGGGGTTCTCCGACATCTTGAGGAATTCTTAAACACCCAGAGACGTTTCGAGGTCTTCTCAGGCATCCCGAGGTATCCTGAGAGATTTGGAAACGGTTTTGGGGTGTCTTCCGACCCTGCGTTCTAAAATATCTGGAAACGTCTTGAGGGGTTTTTAGACATCTTGTGGTATCCTGGGGCATTAAGGGAACGTCTCAGGGTGTTTATAGACACCTTGAGATATCCCAATACGTCGGAGACGTCGCCACGTGGTTTAGACATCTTCAGGCATTCTTAAATGCCCCCGGGCGCTTAGACATCTCAAGGTGTTCCTAAATGTCCTGAGACGTCTTTAGGCATCCTGTGAGACCCAGGCACCGCGTTAGGTTGCCTCGGTGCCGGCAGGTTCGGCAACCGGTCGCATCTTTCGCGGCTCGAGGCTCGCGGGACGACGTCGTCGCTCTTCCGGGCCCGATAGAGTAGAATTGCTCGGGCCCAGAGAGGGTCCGGCAGGCCCAGATTCGGCTGCACGACACCCGGACGCACCCGCCGGTGCGGTAGGATTTTCATTTCTTACTCCTTCTTCCTCTTTTTTTTTTCCCCTTACGTTTTCCCTTCTCGCTTTGTTTCCCCTCTCCTCCCATTTTTGTACTGCGTTCGATTGAATCCTGACACTTGGTCCTGCACACGTGGCCTGGAACGATAATCACAGAGTATTGACCACTTTGATATACGCACTTTTATACCGATGGAATTGACGTAAACGCACCTGTCGCCTCCACTTCCGGGCCGCGCGTCAGCTGACGCCCTCGCGCGTTAATTTCCGCACTTTCCTTCGTTCATCGGCATAACTATTTATAACCCCGACATTGCGCACAACATTTCTCATTGAAACTCGTGGGAGGGACATTTTTAAGGAACGACGTGGTTGAGAGAGACGGGACATCGCATTTGGCACCCTTGCACGGGTCTTGACAGCGGCTTCAAACCGTCCATTGGTCGTGACAGGCTGGATGTACGGTTTATACAGTAGGTTGTATACCTTGGTAGGACCCCTTTTTCTCTCACCCTCTCTCTCGCTGAAGAGTATTTTACAGAGAAAGACGTAACCCTCTGTAGCGGAATTTTTTTATTCACCCGAGACAAATCTGGTATAACGTGAAATTTGCAGATATTAGACTTCCGGTATTAAGGGGATGTCAAAGTGACATCTGAGGGATCAATCTTTATAATACTTTTATCCGAACTTAATGCACCGAATGGGATCAAAATTGACAATGTGAATGTGGAGGCTATAAGGAAGGTCCTAATACTCGTGGAAATTTAATTTTTTATTTGTATACGAAAATATAGAAATGTTGGAGTGGAAAGTTTGAAGCGATGCACCCAGTTCGGAGATAAGTTTCGTAAAGGAGATCTTTTCGACGCCACTTTCGCATCGCCTTAACTGTTTCTTTGGAAATTCACAATTGAGGACTTTTAAAGAAATTCCCTGGTTACGTAAGAGTGATACAGTACATAAAGTACAAGTCTCGCCGGGAAAATTAAATCAGGCTTGACAATATATCGGTACACAGGTATTCACTTAAAAGTCATACGACGTTGTAGAGGGTTAAGATTTCTCACGCGATCATGGCCTTGCCTTTCGATGCTGAAGACCGCCATTAAAAGATGCAATTGTAACGTAGCTGCATAAAAACACCGAAAAAAGAAAAATTATATTTTAGTCGAAATTTCTTAGTTCGTCGGTGTCGTCGAGTTAAGTGTCCATTAGACTTAGTGATTACCCGTAATGGTACACCTGGGATCATTACGCGCGCTTTTAACAGTGGCCTTCGGACAATAACTCGGTAGAGATAAGCAGCTGCGAAGACGAAATAGTGAGAGGAATATTTTTAAACGCACTATTACGAAATTCCTAGACGACTATGGCGCCGAAGATCGCGTCGTTCTCTATATGCCAGGCAATAAGATAACGCAATAATACAGTTTTCTCATGAAGTGTTCAATGCGTGTACATGAATATGTATATACGTCGGGTACAGAAGCAATTTTTACTGCGGGTAAAAAAAAAATACAGAGTTTATCGCCGTGTATAATTATTATCGGGTTGTTACTCGATCGTCTTCAGCTGTACAAAGTCGCTGTAAACGTTCCCTGTACAAAGTCAATGTACAATGTCGATGTAGAGCGAATCGTAGATAAAGCGAGAGAGAAGAGTCAGAGGAAGGGACTCCGTAAAGATGACGTTCGCATATGTACGTGACAGTTGGTCGGATGACGGCTGATCAATGACAGCTCGTCGAGTGACAGTTGGTTGGGTAGCGGCTGATCAATGACAGCTCGTCGAGTGACAGCTGGTTTTAATGACAGTTCGCCAGCCGACAGCTGATTAATGACAGCCGTCAGCTGACGTATTAGTAGCAGCTCGTCGGATGTCAGCTGATCGATGGCAGCTCCTCGAGTGACTGCCGGTTTTAATGACAATTGGCACGTCCAGCTGCTCGTTGACAGCGCTCAGGTTTCCTGAAACGTACAAAGTACAATGCCGTGCCTGCGGAATCATCCGTTTGCGCTTCGCGATGCGCCTTTGCGATACATCGAATTAGATGTCGCGACTCGAGAAGCGGTGTATATATGTATAAATATATAACCATTCAAAGGTATATATCTATACATATATCAATAATACCGCGCGCCGTGGATATAGGAAAGCGCAAAAAAAAAAGAAAAGCGCCGCGAGCGAGAGGAGGGCTTTCCACATTTACGGATGTCGCCGCGTCCAGTTGGATGACTTTTGTCACATACGTTGTATCTCTCTTTGTTGTCATTCGTCAATTCGGCACATCTTCATTATCGATTACCACTTCTTCGCCCGATAACGATGTATGCCCTCTTATTATATGCCTTCTCCCGCGGTGAGATCCGTTGAACTCGTTAACCCGAAGAGGCTCTTGCGGCGCTCGGCTGAAAACAATATAAAGTACAATAATCACCCCTTGACAATAACTTACAGTCATTAAGTCATTAAAAACGAGACAATAAATTAGGGCATATACTGTTTCCCACCGCCGAGGGTCGCTCTAGGCTCTTCCGAGCTCTTGAATGTGGCAGCCCGAAGAGCGAACAAGAGAAGCCGAAGGCTCGTTACCTCGTAACATGCTCGCGTTTAACGGCCGTAATGTCAACGATAACGAGAGAGAGTGAACAATAAATACTATACGCGGGGCAGACTCTTTAACGAGTGGCGGGAAAAAAAAGAAAATAATTCCACTTCCTGGGAATTCGCGGAGGGCTCTTTTTCTTAAATTCCGGCCCGACCTCCGAGCCAATAAAAGTGTCCTCAAGTACTCGTTAATTGACGTAACATTGCAATGGGTTTTTACACGTCTTCTTGAAAAAGCCGTTCCGGCTTCTTGGCTGGCTTAATATCGTTGACATTAAGACCTTTGCGGGATGTAAATGCGTTGCATTAGGTACGCGTGGAGAGCAAGGCGCCGATGATGTTACGTCTTCGGGGGCTTCCTGGTGACGGAGTGTTGACGAAGAGCTCGACATCAGGCGACACCGGACTGTCGGTGAGACCCAGGGAACGATTGCCGTGAACCGGGACGCGAGAACCGTCGATGTGTAGGTCCTCGTTAAGGGGATATCAAAGTGACGTCCGAGGGGTAGCTCTTTCACGGCACTTTTCTCCAATCAATTTGCACCTAATCGTTTCAAAACATTACAACCTGAACGTGTAGGCTACAAGGAAGGTCCCTACACCCATGAAATGTCTTATATACAATTTTTAAAATCAGTACAACCTTCACGCAATTTACCCGGAGTATCCACTTCACGTGGATTCGTTTTACGGGAATGAATACCGCATAAAGTCTGTCTGTCTAAAGTACGAATGAGAAACAATATTGGAAATAGATACCGAGTATACTGTGTTATAATTTACCCTGTAAATTGAGGGAGGAGTGTATGTAGAAATTTGTAAAAAAATTGAAACTTCACGGGTGTCGGCACTTTTCTGGTAGACTCCCGTATTCATGTTGGGTTTGAATCCATCTGGGGCATTCAGTTCGGAGATATGTTTTGTAGACTGGACCTCTGATGCCACTTTCGTATCGCCTTAAGCGTGCGAGGGCCTGATCTGCGAACAAAAAAGCTTTTACGTTAGTGCCTTGCAACGAATCCTGGAGCAGGATCTCACCGTAAAGTGCCCGGAAAGGACACCCTCGCGGTATCGCTCGCGACTGGTTTTACAGTCCTCTTTTCGACGTTGTAGATATACACACTTGTTTTGATGCCATGCTGATGTCGTCATCGAGTAAACGAATATTCTGTTTGAAGATCCGCCTCTTCATTTCTCTCGTCGTCGAAACATTTGACTTGTGGGGTGTTATTAACCGAGTTGTTAACTTTATTCCTTCCACGGACCTCGTTGACACATTCTTCCACAAGTTTCAGGTGGAGCTAAAAATAAGATCATTAAAAACTTCGAGTTGAATCAACACGCAGAACAAAAATGTTTCATTAAACAAACTCGATTGGTTGAATTGTATCCAGCTAAGAAACAGGTTCAGAAAGTCGTTTGATTAATTTTAGACAGTAATTTCGCCAGCAAATCAATTATCTCGGTTAAATAGGCCGAATTGCTTTAACGTTTAGTGTAATCAGTCAAAAGTTATTAGTTAAAGAATTTCATTGTGTTAAGCAAATACTTGGTTGTTCATATAATAACCGTATTTTGTGACTGAATCAAGAAAAATTTTAGTTGATTTGATCAAATCATCTGCGGTTAGTGGACCAATTTTTTTTTTTACTATGTATCACTTACGCTTGCATTTAAATTACGGCGCGTTTTTGGGGGGAAGAAAAAGTTCCTCATTGGCGCGATTCTGGGGTCCCTAGGAATTGCTTGAATCCGATGAATGGTTGCTTCCTTGTAAACTTCCTACCGCTCGTTGGAAATAGTACCAATCGTCTTAAAAGTTCCCGGGATATCCGTCAGATGGCGCCGAAGGATACTTCTAGGCAGTCTGCACAGCGATGAATTCCGACATCTCCTAGAGGTCCATTTCTTCGTTACAATGCGGACTGATCCCGTGAGTGCGAGGGAGATGGACATAATAGGCGACAGTGGTGCTACCTGGTGGATGGTGGAGTAAGTCTGAAACTTTTCAAAATTGGGGTAGTTCCGTCAAGCACGCTTTGGCCTATCCGAATGGGTTTCTAGGAGACCAACTTATCTCTGTCCACCCTAGACAGCGCCATCCGACGGCGATCTCGCGAAGCTCGTACCCAAAGCTTCCCAGCGGTAAATTTCCGATAGATCGGACTAGGGGAAACGGACTTCCATTCCACTGGAAACCCTGCAACTCCTACAGGGGGCAGCACCGTTGCCACGATGCGACGAGTACAGTAGCAACAAAAATATGAACTTCGACTCGTCCCCACCCAACATTCCCGCCCCTGTACCTGATAATCCCCAGGAATCCCCCGATAAAAGAAATTCCCCAGATTTTCCCGTTTCTCGATAAACTGAAATTAAACCAAGTTTCAGAGGGTCGCGTTGTTTCATAGCGGCAGAAAAGGGTCGCAACGCATTGGAATCGCTGCGGATCTTTGCGATCATAACTCTCTAGGTCCAATACTCGTGCAATTCCGTCCCAGCGGGGGTATTACCGCGTTTCGGGAGAGTTATGCAGGGGCGCGTATTATTCGAACAGAGGCCTCGGGACTTTTGGCTCGATCTATGGAGATCGATGCCGATCGGCGAGCGGGTCGGGCGTTTCGCGGCAACTTGGCATCGGCGATGCGGTCGCCGATCGATTTATCACCCCCACAAGTGGTCGGCACTTCGGGCGCTCCCCCGCGACACTTTGAGCCGGGGATTTCGTCCCTTTGTTTTTTTTTTTGGCCCTTTTCCCCCGGGCGAAATAAATCCCGCGATATTATTGATAAACCGCACTCGTTCTAATGCACGGACGAGCGTTAAATCACGGCGGGGTCGCGAGGGCTTAGCCGGGGTATTATCTCGTGGCGCCGGGGGAGCCCCCTAAATGCACGTACGCCCCCACACACCTGCCTTCGTCTTTCTCTCTCGTGCCCCCCTTTCTGTATATATATATCTCTCTCCGCCTCCTCCCTTCGTATATTTATCGCGGCCCGGCCGCGCGAAATATTAATTTATAGGCGGCCGATCGGGCTCGAGGATCGCGTGCGCGACCGCAGCGCCGCCGTTAGTCACCCCGGCGAACTAGACGGCCGACGTTTCCGCGCACTCGGGGACTTCCCTCCTCTCGGAGTTACTGCACTTCTACGCCTAACTCCCTACTCGGCGATGTATCGCGGCCGTTGCACGCGCGGATGAACCCGGCCACTGAACTCGAAATTAGCACGCTGGAGAAAGGGGAAGAAGAAGCGCTTCCGGATGAATATGCAGGTTATCGGACCGCAGCTTTGAAATTAACGATTCGTCGAAGAATCCGGATTTTCAATCTCGGTAACTACTTTCGCGCATTGGCCCTTTCCGCGTATTTACTCGACAAATTTCTGGAGGCTCGACAATTTATTTTCTGGAACGATGTTAATAATGCCGTTTGTCGTTTCTTGCCAGCCCCCCCAGCAGTTTTGTTTAAGTATGCAGCTATCTTCAAAGAAAATTCGCTGTAAGGTTCAACTACCAGATATACAAGCACGAGTACAAATGGCGTCTGAGTTGTTACATGTAGGCAGTTCTCGGTTATCGGATTTATATCTTTAATAATAATTTAGTATATAATGCGATTTTTGCGAAATCCTAATTTCTAAACGGTTGGTAGGAACCAGTTCGTCCGTAAAGACGGGGACTATCTGTGTTTGGAATTTCGAACGCTTGCTCAAGGTGGCGTCGTCGTCGCAGCGGATCATCTCTCGAAGTCCCCGAGAGATGGCGCGACGGAGATCCCGAAATCGGTGATAAAGGCTCGCCGGAGTTCCGCGAGATCGGTAAGTTAACCTTTCCTCGTAACCCAATAATGGCGTTTCTATTTTCTCTGTCCTTAGGGGAGGCTGAAACAACGGAAGTACGAAGGCAGGTACACGGGACGGAAATACAGGTGCACTTGTATGTGTGTACGCGCACACGGAGGGGCGGAAGTCCGCCGGCCTCTGGGGACGAGAGGACGGACGACGCCGGACCTATTAGCCGTTACAACGGGCCGCGAGTCCCGCGTGCCGGCCATCTATTCTGCCACGGTTATCGCGTTCATTTGCATTCAAAGGTAGATTAAAAGAAAAGCGGCCCGACGAGTACACGCGCCATTTTCTAGGTCGGGGCTCGGCGGAAGTCCCACGGTGGCTTTTCCCTCACGGCGCTTTTCCAGGAGACGAGGCGCCCCTTCCTGCGAGACGGAGACGCAGCCGAGACGGAGGAGGAGACCGTTCTAATTACCGTCGCGGGATGACTCCGCTAATTAGAACCTAGCCAGCATTCGGCGTAACCTTCCATTGTCGTAACGCGGACATAACCTAACCGGGGCCAGGGCGGGGATTAATTAACGTCGCTAACTGACCCCCGCCCTGCCCCGAGTGAGCCTCGGCATTGTCGCCGGAACGAACGTTCCTCCCCAGGCCGTCGCGACGCCGGCGCCTCGAGTGGGCGGGGAAATTCACACGGAATATACCTCGCGATTCCGTCGTCCGGAAGGACTCGCCGAATGCTCTAGGTGCGCCGAATAGGCGGTCTCAATGGACCTCGCCATTAGCGAGCATGCGTTGCCCTCGTCGGCCGTTTTCAGGGCCTCGAAATGCGCCGTCGAGGAGGAAATCGTTCGTCTTCTTCGGGAGATAATTTATCTTGTCACGTTTCTTCTGCGTCCAAGGAGGCGAAGCTCCAGTGGAGGCTTTTAATTCGGCCCTCTTGTGCCCTAAGAGCTAGTCCTAAGAAATAAGTTATGTTCGCCAGGCGGTAATTCAGTGTTACCGGATTCTTTTTTCCAAACGGATAGAAATGGAAATCAATCCGGGTGGTTTCCTTCATGCATCTGGCAGCACTGCGCTAATTGTCATCCGGTATTGTGCGACTTGCGAGCTAGGTTACTCTTGTAACGAAATAAGGATTATGTAACTCGCGCCTGCGAATGCGTCATGTAAGAGCGCTCGTTTCATTCGATCGAGGAGCAGAGAACACGCCGGAGGAGGACGTAAGGAAAGATCTCGCCGTGAATGCTCGGCGTTCGCCAAATGGGAGAGCTGGCTTCAATGGAGTTCGCCATTAGCGCGTCCCCGAGAAAGTCCCCCGAAGACGCGGTCCAACCGGTGTCATCGTTAACGAGGATTGCGTTATTCGAGTGCAACTTCGGCCTCCAGGGACCTTACGTGGACGGGAATAATTGATCGTCCGCCTCGTTTCCTCGGGGGGTCGAGGACTTGCGCGGAAACTTAATTCTATACCTCCTTGCGACATAATTGGAAGGATTCAAGGACGAGGTATGTCGTGTCCTGGGGCCACTGGAGTTCCTGATATTTCTCCGTTGAAACTCACCTTATCAGCGAACGTCTCTCGATACATCTGTACCACTTATCAGGAAACATCTCGTTACTAGGGCTCAGCGTGATGCATTACATTGTACAGCTTCTGCATATTTAAGAAATAATACCACTTATGCGGTATTCTTATATCCCCTCGAACTCACCTTCGATGTAGAAAAATTTAGCCAAACACATTTATCTTTATTCAATTAATTAGGAAAATAGCTGAAATTGCTCTCTTCCCATGAAAACTCTTTACTCAATGTTTCTTGACCGTTGTCAAGGAACACAGAAGACGGTATTCGCTCTTATTGTACCGCCTATCAGACATCTTGTCAATGTCATCACATAGAGTCGTCCATTCTACCGAGGTGTACCATTGGCACAGGTTTCGGGCGAGCACCTGCACCTGCAGAACCTGGTTCGCTCGGTTCTCCAGGCTCCGGTGCTCGTCGGGCACATAACGAGTCGTTCTCCTAGAGGAGCGCGACGGTCCCACCCAGGGGACGCATAAGTGTCTACGTCCCGGCGCCGCGTCTCCAGCGGGTCCTCCGGGTGACAACGAGGCCGGGTCCGGGGCGTAAAGCGCCAGGACCACGGTGGCGGCTTTAATTAGCCGGAGGGCGAGAGAGAGGAACCTCTCCGTGGCCAAGGTAGAAAGCCAGACCCTCGTTGCATTTGAATGACCGTGGGGATTCGACCGTTTCCGCCGCGCCCGAGATATTCCTGCCCCTGGACGCCCGTTGCCGTCGAAAGCGTCGCGACGCGCCCTGGAGTGCCGGTACAGGCCAAACCGAATTAGTACCCTACCTGGACCCGCGAAATATGTTCATCCCCATGAGGGTCTTCGCTTTCCGCTCGCGTTTATCTCTCCTACCGCTGCTCCTCCGTGCAAATCATTCCTCACATTTCATATCGCTCAATTATATTTATTGCATTATTCGTCCCCTAGCCACGTTTAACTCCCCTTGTCCCTCCTCTCCAAGCGGAACATCTTTCATATTTCATATCGCTCAATAATAATTATGTAATCCTGGGTCTCTTTCAAGGGAATCACATTTCCTAGATTTCACCCCGCTCGATTATATTTATCATGTAATTATGTTGTATGTAGACATTGTTAAGTATTCCCTCTGTCGCGGTACTCTTTTTATCAGGAGACGAGGTAGCGTCTCGGACAAGTTCATGTACTTTCCTTTTATACCAGAGGTGGGTTCTTTGGGAGATTCAAGTCCTCCCCTTGGATTGGAACTTTTGAACGATTGGGACTATAGAAAAATTGGAATTTCATAAACAATCCTTCCTAACAATCTCTATCTCGGCCCTGATATTTATGAGCAGTCGCTGCGGCGATCCCCATTTTATGAAACATTTAGGCCCTGACAATTGCGCGGTTAATGAACGGTGTCGCTTCGCCGGCGTACGGACAGTAACGCGTTATGATTCCGCGCCCAGTTTCCCGTCCCGCGTGCGGACGTCGACGTGACGTTAAAATTAAACACCGACGGCTGATACTCACCGTTGTGCCCGCAAATTTATCGGCGCTAATTCTAGTCTCGGGTTTACACGCGTCCACGGGATGACGGGCGAACCGAGGAGCGAAAATCCATGTCGCAAGACCGGCCGTTAAACTCCCGATTTGATAACGCAACAATGAGTTTTGGGCCGCACCCGCGGCCGATATTCCGCGGCCCCGGGCGGGAATAAACCCTGCCCACGGATCGTTTCTTCGGAACCATTCGCTAACCCTGGAGTTCCTCGCCGCTCGGTTATCGGCATTGCGAATTGGAGCAAATGGATATTGGGTTTTGGTACACCCTTTCTGGAGCGCAGCGGTATATCGGACCCGGTATCGACGTAGTAATCAGCCCCGAAACTGCGTCCAGATTCGCCGAGCTGGAAGGTACACCTCGTAGCACCGGGTACCTCTTTATTCGCACACCTCCGTCCGGAACATCCCCTGCATGGTTCCTCTGAATCCGGATTTAGAGATAGGATAGACTCTAGAGGGCTTCTCTGCCTCGACAAATTGATCTATAATATGTTCTGTATGATTTTTATTGGATTGAGGCTTTGGGAAATACTGGGAGAGAGGTTGTTTTTATTATTATATTTTTTATTTTTAATATTATATAGAGGTTTTTTTTTTTAATTATTTATTCACCTGCGTCCAGATTCGCCGGGCTGGACTCTAGAGGGCTTCTCTACCTTAACAAATTGATCTATAATATGTCCTGTATGATTTTTATTGAATTAATACGTAGTGAAATACTAGGATAGAGAATTTTTTTTTTTATTAACGGCTTGGGACAAAATGGATCACCGAGGGTTTTTCTTTACCTAATCACTTAGCCCCAAAGCACCCCTCGTGTGATTTTCAATTTATCAAAATTTAGAAGTATATCACCGTGGCATCAGTGGGGTTCCTTTGCTTCTGTTAAAACAGCTCCTTGTATATATAAGTATTATCGATGTACAATCTTTAATAATTACTCTTCTAGATCGCCGTGTTCCGGATTCGCGGTATCACTCCCCACGAAGAGGAAGCCTTCGGTTACCCCCGTCAGTCAGGCTTCCACGAGGCGGTATGACTTGGTGTTTCTCGTTTCAATTAGGGGCGCAAGGGTTAACCGGGCTCGTTTCTCCGTTCCCGGTTCTCACCAGTAGAAGCGTTTGCGGTTTCGATTTTCTGGCGGTTCAATTATCGGCCCTGCCACCGAGTGGACGTCGAATCGGACCGCGTTCCCTCTCTTCCGCATCGCGGGAACAAACCGGGCACGTTTCGGAGGACGTTAACCAGTCCTGAAGCGATATCCAGCCCGGGTTTGGTGGGACCGGCATGCCGGTCATTAATCTTGACGTTTAACCCCGGGCGAAAGACGCAACCCCCTCGGCTAGCTAAACGGGAAAAGGGAGCATTTTCTTTCTGACAAGGAGGCGCCTCCACTTTCCGAGGGCTCCGCCGTGGCTCGAACGTGTCCTGCATGGTTCGGGACCGGATCGGAGGGGAGGAGGAATTTTTAGGCAAACTCGAGGGTGCCGAGTCGAATCTTCTACCCTGGTCTCGAGGACAAAGGGGATCCCCTTCTTTCCAAGAAAATTCGCCCTCTTGTCGGGTGTAATTCCCCCGCTTGTCCAGGGCTCCTCCACGAGGGGACATTTAAGATTTATTCGTGGAATCCTTGAAAATTCGGCTCCTCATCTCGGATTCAGGGAGAAGCTCCTTTTCCTCCCCTTTCCCGCTGCCGTCGAGATACCGAAACACGGGAACTAATAAACGCACCTTCGGAGTTGAAATTAATTTATTCTTCTTTATTATACGCGGTTCCCGTAAAAAAAAAAAAAGTCAAGGAATGGGTATTTGGGATTAATGTCTGGAATCTTTGAAAACATGGATATGAATCCAGGATTCAGGGACACGGGACCCTCTTCAAGGTCTCCCCTGAAACACAGGTACTGACACACGTGTTCAGAATTAATTCATTTATTCGTAATCGCGTTCATCATAAAAGTACAATAATAGCATTATATCAAATCACAAAGAGAAATTCAATATTCACACCGTAGACTCGCGGGATGGTTTTTCCGAGGGTACTTTGTATTACAATTGTTGGCTTCGTATGCGTGGGTGTGTGTTTTTCGCTGGGGTATATGTATATATGTATATATATATTTATTTATTTATTTATAACTTTTTCTCCGCCCCTCTGCCAAGGTCCTCGCGCGCTGCTTCCGCGCTGAGTAAAAGGAGATCAGCGCGGATCCGCGGAGTCCTCGAGAGCGGGACTCTGACGAGAGGTACTCCGGGTAAGAACAACTAAGATGGGAAAGTGCGATATATTAAAGAAAAACGCATAGACAATGAAATAATATAACAAATAATTACAAAACGCCGGCGCGACCGGCGGGCATTGCAGGACATGGGCAACGACGTGGATCGGAAGTCCGGTGTCGGCGATGATGAAGGGAATATGAACGTGGACAAACGTCGCCCGGTGGTCATCGAGTCTAATCGGCGTCCTATCGATACTATCGGGGCATCGGCTCGGCCCCGACTGATAAGAAAAAGCGCGCTAGTTGGCGCGCGAATCGCTCTTCGTCTCCTCGCAGCCGCGACCGCAAATCGGGTACCAATCCAGAGAGTACCCAATTGTTGGTACCATCCGAAGGAGCTCGACCTCCTCTTCGGCATATCATCCCACGATTCGCGCTCGTTACGTGTCGCGTCCTCCTACCCACCCGCCCACCCCCCGAGAAAATTACCCCTTAGAATTATTTTTACAAATATACAATGACAACGAGTAAAGTTCGCAATCACGATGTACGACAATCACATTAGCGGCGCCTCAAGGAAAAAGGAAAACACTCACATCCGAAATGTATCTCTTCGCGTTTCAGCGGATCCGTAACACCTCGTTCTCTTTCTCGCTCGTGTTTCTTTGTCTCCCTCGCGCTTGCCATTCCCCCATCGCTCCGTCTCGCTCGCACGCGCTCAGTCCCTCGCACGCAAAACTCGCACCAGACACACTCTCTCTCGCTCTTTCTCCCCTGACGTGTACAAAAGCAGTGCCGGGCGTCGGTTGAAATGTGGAAACTATTTGAAATAGTAATTTAAATACACCCTAAAAACGTCTACCCCCGAGAGGGGCGCATTCCGCGAGAGATAATCGGAATTCCTCCACCCCGGCCCTTCTAATTTCTCGCCCAATGCGTGCCCTCCGAAAGGTGGATATTTAAACGCCGATCCGGTTCGGAATCCGACGCGAAAAACGAAGGTAACGCCTACAATGCTATTTCAAATAGCGGGTTCGCTCAGCACTGCCGAAAAAACGCGGTGGAGCCAAGCAGGGGATTCGCACGTGCTCGCATTTTTGATTTAGTCCGGCTGACAGTAGACGCCTCTCTTTCTCTCACTTTCGCAAATGTCCCTCATTCTCTCTCTCTCTCGCTCGTTGTTTCAGCTCTCATCCAAAGAGCGGAGGCACGGATTATACGGGAAATACAGGAGTGGTTGCTAATCAGGCACTTTACGTCATCTCCTCCGCTCTCCCGCGCTCTCTTTATCCCCCGGCGGGCCGGCTGCTGCGATCAGCTGATATCTGTCAAACGCGCAAGGGGTCTCATCCGGGACGAGCTCGCTCTCGTGGACTCGCTCCCGAGTCCCCGACGCGCGCACACCGCGAACCCCTGGACAGGTGTTTCCTGGTCTCGACTTTAGGTCCTCCGCCACCTGGATCCGTGGAAGTCTCATCAGCTGACAGCTGTCAAGAACGCGCGAGGGGCTGTCGATCCAGGGCAACTCCCGACGGCCTCCTGCAGTGCGAATCCCTGGTTGGGTGTTCCCTTAGCTTGGGTCTAACTCGGCACCCTTTCAGCCCCACGGATCCGTGGAACGAAATGAAACGTGCTCGCCTCAGCCCGAGCTTGAATAATTGTTAGGTGATTAATCGTGTGGTTGGGCGGATCTCGCCGGAACGCGGCGAGACCCCTTCCTGGCGTTGGTGTTGGTTGAGCCTCTTCGATCCGTGGCGAACTCGACTCCTGCCCGAGAGTTTCCAGGACTGGTCCTCACCGAGGGCCGGAGTTAGGTCATCAGCTCCGTGGTGTCGTCGGCTTCGAGGTCGTCCGCAGGTTCCACCCTCATGGCCAGCTGCGTGTACCCCATGCTGGCCTCTCTCCTCCTGGACATCGCCTGAAAACCACCGCAAAACCAAAGAGATCAGGCCCAGGTTCGTAGTAGAGACCCTTACCAGAGTTTGATACCAAAGTCCACGTTCAATCGATAGACGCCTACCTGAAGAGCGACGAATATCGTCGCGAAGAGGGCCACCGAGGCCAGGCAGATCGCCACGGCGAGGGTCGTCGCCGCTGTCACTGCCAGGTTCGCCGAGTCAGCCGCCGTGTTGGTGAACTTCGAGGTCGCTTCCTGGACCATGTCCGGGGAGGAGAACTCGGTTCCAGGGACTCTGCGCTTTCCCGCTGGCGAGCTGTTCCTGCAGCCTCCTGGTAACGATAGCGGGGGGTCAGGGTGTTGCGGGGGTTTTGGCCAAACTTGGAGCTGGACGCCCGGAAGGGTCCTGGTAAATTGCCTGCCTGAGACGTTTGAGAGCACCTACCGGTCTCCTGGTCGCAGAGGCAGCATTCCTCGCTCTCGGTTCCTTTCTCGGACCCTGTGCAGCAGGGGACACATTGATTGTTCAGCTTGTCCAGGTGAAGGGGCAGGGAGCAGGCTGCGCAGCTGAATTTCCCGGGGCCGGAGCATCGGCGACAATCGGCGTGGCAAGTCTTGCAAAGTTGGGTCAGGGGGTCGTAATACTGAGCGCCCAAGCACTCCATGCATAGTCCTCCCTCGAGCATGGAGTGCGCCGGGCAAGAAGTGCACTCAAGGGGACCCTCTCCTGCGACGAGATACACAAGACATTTTAGAATCAAGGTTACCAGAGGAGGCCTCCACGAGGATAAGGGGGCTCCTCTTTCCTAGACTCGTCGGGCTGGAATCGGTGACCCACCTTTGCAGGTGCGGCAGTAGTGGTGGCACTTTTGGCAGCCGAAATTCGACTTGAAGAACCCTTCCGGACACTCCGGGTGGCATTCCCCTGCTGCCAACTGCCAACCTTTCGGACAGGTCACGCACTGGTCTCTTCTGGGGCCTGAACATGTTCTGCAGGAGAGGTAGCACTTGGCGCACTGACCTCGGTCACTGTAATACCTGGAAGTAGATATTGGTTCCTGTAGTCGGGCTGCTTCTCTCATGGGGACCTGGTCCATGAAACGTACAAGTACCCACTATGACTCTGCATACCTAAAAAGTTCCCCTTAGCAATAAATATATGTAATACATTGGTGTAATTTTCATCAAAAATTCGGCTAATATAATATTTTGCGTCCCAGTATACATTACATCCAATATATTAGAGTAATATTAAATGAATATGACGACCCATATGGTACGTTGTTACGATACGACCGCAATATTGGTTATATATTGCTTTAGTACCCTAGGGCAAAATATTTTACCAATAATTCAAAATGTTCACGTTTTAATATCCAAGCAATATTCCCAATATTTAGCCGAACTTCGGTTTATCAACATTGTACGGATTAATATTGCTGCATGGGTTAACAGCAGAATTGCCAAGCCCAGTCAAAATGACTGTTTTTGGATGGCCCACCACAGCCAAAACAAATCCACCGGTAGGTTCTGGGGTTAAATAACAAATATACTCTCTTATCAATTGTTATTTTTGCTCTTGTACGTTTCAGATAGATTCCAGGATACGTCCTGAAATTTTCCTGCGATCAGGGGAGACCCTCTTACCCTTGGGCACAGGACGACCTGCACTCCCCGCTCTGGAGCTGCAGGCCATCCTGGCAGGCTGTACAGTTCAACCTGGAGACGCAGGTCTTACAGGTGTGCAGGCAAGGGGAACAGATCGGCCTCGAGGGTTGGACCATGGAATAGAATCCTTCGCCGCATTGCGCGACGCACTGCCTTCCTTGAAGCATGAGCGGCGTCTGGCAGGATATACAAAAGTCCTCGGTAGGTCCCGCACAGGTCTCGCAGGTCGAGTGACATGGCTTACAATGTCCGTCCTCGTAATACTCCGTACTGTCGCAACGATTGTGATTCTCAGGTGCGCAGAGGCCCTTCTTGTTCAGGCTCCAGCCGGAGACGCAGGTGATGCAGCTGGAAGTCGCGCAGGTCGCGCAACCTGGGGGACAGGGCACGCACTCGCGCCTCTTCTTGTCCGCGCTGTAACCTGCCGGACAGGAGCCCCGGCAACTCCCTGCAGATCAGGTAAATCTAAATGACTATGTCCTACCACCTGTGAGACCTCGACACTTCCGATATGATGATATAATGACTAGGTCAGGGTGTCACTCCTCTATCTATATACGTATTTGGCGCGAAACTCTACCGAGTTTCTTAATAAGCCGATCTTAACCCTTAAGGTGATGCGATAGGTCTCGTTTACGAAACTTTTCTCATAACTGGGTGAACTGAATCGTTTGAAATTTTACGGTATGAATATTGAGGCTAGGAAGTAGGTCCCGACACTCGTGAAATTTCAATTTCTTGAATGGATTGGATCAATGGATGAAATAATGGATTCACATTGTTCCCCCTTTGTATAAAGTGCAGATTTATATGACGACGTTGGGCCTAAGTGATCCAAAATCCGTTTAGGGGTTGATGTGTAAACGTAATTGATAGGGTGGGCTCCAAGAATTGCAACTACGGTAATGAAATAGGTGTTAAAAGTGTCACTCAAAAATGGCCTCCTCGACGTTTCCTTCGCACCAACCTCGAACCTTCAGAAATTCCGAACATTCGCCGTGAAATAATAATTCCCGGGAAAGTCAAACGTACGAGGTGGAGTCGACGGCAGTTCGAAAGTTCGAATAGGAAATTCTGGATCTTAGAGATTCCGGCCGACGCGCAGGTTTGAAAGATTCATCGGATGTTTGAAGGGTGAGTCCTGGCAATAACTCAGCGCCGTTTTAGCTCGACCTCGGTTCCCCTAAAAAACTGATGAATTAAACATCCCGACCGAGCTCACCGTTCAAGGAGAACAAGCCAGGTCTGCAGCCGATGCACTGATTTTCCCCAGTCCCATTGCAGGTTTCGCAGGTGGGGTGGCAAGGTGCGCAATTGTAGTCCTGGGTCTCATAGGTGTACAACGGACACGCGGCGTAACACCTGTTCTCATGCATCACCAGGTGATGCTCGCAACTGATGCAGTGGTCGGGTCTATCCTGACAACTCGCGCAGTTCGCCTCGCAAGGTACGCAGGTATTGTTCTCGATATCTGGAGAAAAGAGATAAACCCATTAAACGTTAACCACAATTCCTGAAACTCTCCAGGGTGGAGGTAGGGAATCCATCGACGTACTCTCGTAGTAGCCCTCGGGACACTGCTGAAGACACACGGCCAGGTCGGTAACCCTCAGGTGAGCAGGTGCGCAGGAGAGGCACGAATCTTGACCAGCTCCTGCGCAGGTCTCGCAAGATTCGTGGCAAGGCCAGCAAACTCCACCTTGGTTGGGGAAACTCCTCGGTGGACAACGGCTGACACAGGTGCTGAAGAGACGGGAGGAATTGTCAAGAAATGATTACCATCACTCTAGACCTGCAGGTAACCCGGAGGAGACCCTGAAGAGGAGGCTTACTTGTCTAATCTGTACGTCTTGCAGGCGATACATTGAGTAGGACCCTTGCCATAGCAACCTTGAGGATCACATTGCGGATCGCAGTCGTGGAGGATCCTCTTGGTGGGGTCCAAGGACCCGGCGAGGACGTTGGCGGTGTCGCCAGGTAGTTGATTGGTCAGCAGGGGTGCCGAAGAGCCGTCCAGGGTGGCCACAGAGGCCTGGACGTCGGAAGCGGCTCCTGAATAGGGACCCTGATAGCCCTGAAAGATAAAGGGTCAAAGGGGATCATCGTCGAACCTGGCATATCCTGGATCTTGCCACGTCGCAGGGCAATATGCGGAACGAGCTTGCACCTGGTTATACTGCTGCATCCGAATCCTGATGGGGTTCGTCGCGGTGCCGTAGAAGATGAGCTGCCACTTCTTCAAGATTCCTGTAACAGGTTTTCGAAAGGTGCTACTTAGGGACCCGGTTGACGAAGAGGGACAACGCGCATGCGTGGACCGGGTCTACCAGGCGACGGGATTCCTCGTAATCATCGCCCCCGGCTCATTGCCGCAATCGCCGGGCCAATTATCGTTAATTACATTTTTAAGCAACCCCACAGTTTATGGGCCTCCCGTTATGCGGCATCGATCGCTCATGAACTTCCCAACTGCCCGTTTGCGGCGACACCCAATGATTGGCGGCCTTTGGAGGTGATCCAATCATGTCTACATTGCCGAAGAGGACCTCGTCAGGGGAGAGGTGGCAAAGGGGCGATGATTAACGAAGACCAGAGATCAAACGTATCGGGGGAAGTTCCTTGGAATGGACCCCAACTTGCCTGGAGAGTTGACATGCCGACTTCCAGCATTAATGACCTGCAGGGTCCACCGTCCGTCTGCCTTCTCGCCCCAGAAGTGCACGCTGAGGAAGGGCCAGTCGTCGAAATTGGAGCTGAGGACGTCCCTGGGCCTCTCGAAGAGCAACGTCGAGGTGGTGCCCATCGGAGAGGTCAGTAACAGCCTGAGGTTCCCGCGAGGGAAGAACCTGAGCGACACCTTGAAAAGAAAGAATTCATTTTCAAATCAGGTACTCCTCTAGGTACTTGGAGTCCTTCATAAGAGTTCCCCTCGCATTCCCAGGAACTCATTCTACCCAGGTGCATCATACCATCATCTGGATGCACCCCAGCCAGGGATTATCCCTAGGCCAGCTTACCTTGCACTGCACGTGCTCCAAAAAGCGGACCTCGTTCAGGGTGCCGGCGCAGCCGCTGACGTCCATGTAGACACTGAGGCTGTACCCGTAGGTAGGATCTATCGGTCGCTCTTCATTGATCTCCTGGGACTTGCAGATATGCTGAGGAGGCACGTTGGTCCACTGCTCGGCCAAGCTGACCATGGCGCCGGCGTCCATGAGGCCGTACCCAAACTTATGGGAGACTTTCCTCTTGACGCCGTTCAGGATCCACCCGGGCTCCTTCTCGAGCGGCCCGGACCTTGAAGTGAGCACCACCAGGTACTGCATGTCTCTCCAGGTAAGACTGGGATTTGCCTCCAGGGCCAGTGCTGCGATTCCTGCGGCCAACGGCGCCGATGCCGATGTTCCCGTGTGTTCCACCGTGCAGATGTGGTCCGGCCTTAATTTTGCGTCCATATCCACCGTCGCGACGCTTTTGTCGTTCCCCGGAGTACCCGAAGAGTAGGTGGACGCCAAGGTCGAGCTGCACTCTTCCAGGTACCAAGGCTTGTACCCGCCCTGGGTGGCGCTGGATATCGACAAGGTGAAGATGCTGTTGGTGTAGCCGTCGCAGTTGCAGGAATCCGTGTGTCTACCTCCGTTTCCGGATGCCCAGACGAAGATGGACCCCTTGCCCTTGCGACCCTGAAGAAGGAACCTCGGATGTAGATCACTTTGTTGGACCATCTCCAACCTTATGAGAAGTCTTCTGTACATTCCCAGATTATTTTCTTTGGCGCTCCTTAAAATATTCTCATATTGGAGGATCTATGTACTTATGAAAGGATTTACGTGGAATCATTAAGATTGACATGCGTAATTATCTGACAAAACCATTGCATTACAGATTTTTGGTACTGCGTCATATTTGTTGTTGGTTGGAATAGGGATTTCACTCTACTCCATGCGAGTTTGAACATTTCAAGGTAAATTTGATGTGCTTACGGTCGTAACCCCATATATGAAGGACCTCCTGGCCAAGGGCCCGGGTCCATCCACGGTCTTGCCGTCGTCCTCCGGGCCCCAGGAGGCGCTGTAGATGTCGATGTGGTCCGGGTTCAAGCCCAGCGCTCTGGCCTCCACCGCGTCGTTCACGGGCCCGTCCAACATCCTCACACCTGAAGCGATATAACCCGATCCGGACACCCGGACAAATCGAGGCCATTAATCCCAGACGCCTGGAGGATCGGGGATCCACTCCAGTCCCTCCCGTGGGCGATCGATCAATCCCAGGCCCTCGAGTTGCAAGACGCTCACCTCCGATGCTGGAATTGTAGGCGACCCCGACTCCGCAGTACTGATTGAAAGCCACGGCGGCGACCTCGCCGGCACACCGGGTCCCGTGCTTGTTGTCGCCGTTGTCTTTGGGCATGGGGTCGTCGTCGTTGTCGTTGATGTCGGTGCTGGCTCGGTGGTCGTAGTTCAGGGCCAGGTCCGGGTGGTTCGTCTGGATCCCGTCGTCCAGGATGGACACCACCACGCCCTTACCCGTGTACCCCCTCTGCCAGGCTGGGTCCAGGTTCATGTCGAACCCATCCTTGGCCCCTCCGTTCTAAAGTACGAAAATGCGCCAGGGTAGGATCGACACCTCGGTTGTATTCCATTGTTCCGTGTAAATTTCGGCATTTTTACGCATTTTTACGGATCCTTTAAGCCTGTTCCACGTACGTCAGTGTTGGATCTTGGAATGGCACATGTATACGGAGAATGAAAAAATTGTAATTTCTTTGAAAGTAATTATTCATTCGAATGGAGTGAATGAAACTGCGGCATAAAATTGAAGATATGAATTTTTCCCTCGAAACTGCTGAATGTTTAATTGATGCATCGGATCGATTTTGCGGAATATTGTAATTACTTTGAATGAATAAGAAATATTTCTTTGGGGTAATTACATGTTCATCTTATCAAACCCTGGTATTTGATCCAAATGAGCATTGTTCGAAGGGATGATTTTGTGGACGTCGGGTATACGACCGTGGTCTATAAATTTACTGTCTCGTTCTGATTAAATATTAAATATTTTATTCTTTTCGAAGCGAGGGATTGAAAGACCGGAATATTGAAATGAAATGGTGACAATGGAGGGGAATGTACCGAATCGGGAGTACTGCGCTAATGTAAGAGGAAAGTTATGACTGAAGTTCAATAGAGTCGAATAGACGAAGTTCGATTAAAGTTGGAATTAATGCATAATGGCTGTAGTTATCCGTAATATATTTTTTATAAAATTATTTAAAATCAAAAAATGACACCTCACTCAAAAAGTGACACCACAATTTGATATTGAACAACCTAATGCATTCAAGACACATTACGCATTAATCGGGGTAGGTAGAGGAATTTAGACTACATGTATCCATGCCGGAATTTAAACTGGAATTTAAACTGGAATTTAAACCAGACTCCCAGGACTCCGAAGAACCCTGTGATAAAGGACATTTAAGGGGCTAAGGTCTGGCCAGTGCCATTCATTCGGATTCATCCCCCGTTCCCGAGGGTGGAGGGTCCAGCCAATCCCCCCGACAGCCGTCCATCATCATTTAAATCCTGATTTAAATCCCGCAAATCCAGGATGACATCCCTGGAATTCCTTAAGCTAATCAGAGCCACCCCTGTTTCCCTGGTTCCTTCGGTGGCACCCCAGGAAGCACTCGTGTATCTCTAGCCCTAAAAGAAAAATTGGACCATTACGATCCGACGTCATCATACCATAAATCTGCACAGTGCATATACAACCCGGCACTTTATATTCCCTCGTAGGTAGCAGCGATGAATCCTAATTGGAACGAAAAAAATGCGAACCTATTTTTTAAAGAGACGCTTATATTTTTTTTCATGCATTTATATGATGAAGTCGGCTCGAAATATTCCAATTTCCATATAAGGGCTGGAGGTATACTCATGTACAAGTGCACGTGTCAGGTTGACGCACCCCCGAGGTACCCCAGAAGACATCCCCGTGTATCTCTAGCCCTAAAAGAAAAATTGAGCCATTATGACCCAACGTCATCATTTCATAAATCTGCACTCTGCATACTTAACCTACCACGTTTTATCATATTCCCTTATAGGTAGTAGAGATTAATTCTAATCAGAAAGACGAAATAATAGGAAGTTGTTTTTTTTTTTTAAAGACACGCGTCTTTTTGAATACCACTTATATGATGGCGTCGGGTCAGAATGATCCAATTTCACAAATGTGGAAATACACGTGTAAGATCGACGCACCCCTTATGTGCCCCAGGGGATGTCTCCCTATATCTCTGGTAGCACATTCACATGCAGGTGCACGTGTAAGGGCGACGCACTGCCTTGGCCACCCCACGCCACGCCACGCCACGCCACGCCACGCCACGCATACCGGGCTACATTGTGCAGCCACACAATGGCCGCCATTGTCTCCTAGCCCTCTCGGGCTCCCTTTCTCGCCCATGTCCGCGACCCTCTCTTACAACAACGAAAAGTATCCCCTGCATTTCCGCCCCCTTCCTGACGTAAGCAACGCGCCGGGGCAGCCCCGTAGGAAATGGCGACAACGGAGGCAACCGAGGCAACCCGGGCAACCTGGGCAACGGCGTCCCCGCCGAGGAAAGATATTGCACTCTCGTGGGCACCCGCGACGCCGGAGTTAGACAATGCCCGGCGTCGCGGCGTCGAAACTTCGGAACTCGTCGGCCCGTCGAAAGTCCTGGACGGGAACGCCGGGAGGGGTTAGCACCACAGGGGTAGTTCCTCGGGACGATACACCCATTATACAGGAGGGCATTGTCGGACAACGGGACGTTTTACCCCGGTCTGGATGTCGGTACCACCGAGGGGGGCGTTCGCCACCCCCCGGGGCGGGAGGGGTAAGTGGCCCAAGTGGCGAAGGGGGTAACTCGGCGCACAACTCGGAGCAGAGGAGTTCGGCGGAACTTGGGAAACGAATTTCTTCATTTAGCCTCTAATTCCATCCGAAATCTGCCGGCGGGGGGTCCTTGCCCTTCATCCCCCCGCAATGGAGGGTGGAGGCGCCGGGAGAAATGGGGGGAAAAAAAATTATCCCGGAACTACCGGATTTTCATATCTCCTGGGCGACCAGCCAAGACCTCGCGGGGCGAAAACTATCCCCCCAGCCTGGCCCGATATAAACATATTAATATCCCCGAAACGACTCCGGATGTCAGGTGCACGTGGGCCGCGACATTTTCATAAAGTACAAATGCGCCCTTACTGCGACTAGGGGGTGGAAAAGCTGCGCGACGATACTACCGACCTCTGAAATCCACAATTACGCGAAGCCCGATTTTTTTTCCAACGTCATTATTCCCGCGTGGAAAATAAAGGGAGAAAATTTACCGGGATTTTCCGACCCCGTCTTTTTACTAAGGTCGATGTTTTGTGGAAATTTTGTAATAAAAAGAGAGGGGGCAAAACATTTCGCCGAATTGTCTGAATGACGGCGTTAACAACCAGGGGGATGGTTTTAATAAAAGGAAGGAAAAGTTTCCCTCCATTGTCTAAATTCTGGCATCAGCATCCAGGGAGATGTTTTTGGTGAAACGGGAAAAAAAAAACCTAGCGACAAATGGAAAATTTCCCTGGATTAAATTCTGGTACCCTATTTTGTGGTTCTGGTAAAGGGAGAGAAATGTCGATAAACTTGAAAAGGTTTTCCTTAATCGTGCAAATTCTGGTACCAATGTCCTAAGGGTAGGTTTTAAGAAAGTTATGTAGGATGGTATGGGGGTGAGTACGGAGATTATACCGAACATACGTGTAAAGGGTGCGTAAGGGGGATGGGAGGTGGGAGGGGAGAGATACCGACCAGGTACCATTGTTCCTTGAACAGGGGGTCGGTGAAGAGGTTCGGCAAAGGCACCCCTCTGTTCCTTTGATGGTGCAAGCTCTGGCCCTGGCGGGGTGCGAACCCCTCTGCGAAGTACGGGTAATCCGGGAAACCGAAGAACGCCCCCTCGAAGTCCCTCTTCTTCCGCTTCCTCTCGTGCTGCTGTTGGAACCAGTGCACCTGAAATCACGCCGACATTGTCTCCAGGGGGGGTGCAAAGTGGACTAATATCAATTATCGGCCATACAGCCGAAGCGCCGAGATGCGAACTCGCGACGAAAAATCACCTCCGCCATTTTGTCAATCTTTTATTCTTCACTCGTGCCGTGTATTAATTTAATTCCTGCGCTTTCTGCATCTCTCCATTTTGAAAATTATTCCTTCCGATGAATAAAAACAATGTGAAAATGTGGCCGCTAGAAATATACCTCACTGTAAAAAGAAGAATTAATGTTCAAGTTGATATTATACAGGAGTGGAGGTCTGCATAACTGTGATGTGCAGTCGGGAAGAGGTGATAATAGATTATTCTCGTTTCCCGGCGGATTTAAATATATTTTCATTTTGAATATTCGCGCAATTGTCTGTAACCGATCGCCTGCACCGACTACATCGAATATGCTGAATTGAGGCCAGTCGAATCTAATGATCTATATTTCACCATATTGCGATCTGAAGCATTAGGATTTATGTAGAGCATTTTATATCGCGATAAGCCGACTTCATTCTTCCTTTGCGACCCTACCGCGCCTATTAGTTAAATTTGTCGAGCGCCATCATCCAATTTCGAGTCGTTAAGAGACATTTGAAATATAAAAGTTACTATTTCTCACCACATAGATATAAAAAAACGTTACAATGTTTGCCAGGAAAAGTGACGTCGGTATGTTAATTCCTCGCGCCTTCGTGACTGGCGCAACAAAAATTACTCTTACTCGTATTGATATTACTTTTAATATTAATTGCAATAAATGTTTGCACAGCTGCGATATTCGGCCATGGAAATGGTGATAACGGATGTCTTTCTCTCGGTTTCTGGGGAATTTCAATATTTTCGTAGACGTTTGTCAGGAGAAGTGACGTCGGGGTATTAATTTTCCATGCCTTCGTGACTGGCGGTAAAGGAATTATTCTCACTAAGATTAATTTTTAATATTAATCCCGACAAACGTCTGCGACGTTGGCCCATGGAGAGGTGTTAACGGGCACTTTTTCCTAGCTTCCTGGGTAATTTAAATATTTCCATAGATGTTTGCCAGGAAAAGTGACGTCGGTATATTAATTTCCCACGCCTCCCTCGCCGGCGCACCTGGGGAAACGTTTCATCCCGCGGGAATTAAAACACGGAAACAAAGGGGGGTCCAGAGGTGTCTTTTGCAGGCGGCAAGACGCGCCGGATGGGACGGATTTGCATATTCAAATTGATTTGCACGAGCTTGTTGTCCTTTTCTAGCTATTAGCCTGATACGTTTCGGGGACCGGGGGAGGCCGATTTTCATGAAAGAGAAGGCGGAGCTGTCAGCTGCGATAATTTCTTCGAGTTAATTAATTCCCGGGGACGAGTTTTCGCGCGCGGATGCGTCCGCGGAAAACACTCCCTTATCGCGGGACAGGAAATCAATTGGAATTGATTTATCGAGGGTTTCTTCATTTCCCTCTTCCCTCTCCCTGACACTTGGGGAAATATTTACTCCAGTCAGAAATATCGCCTCAAGACAAACGGGCATTTATGTAAACGCGAGCCTAACTACTCGGGCTTGTCGCCTCGAGATGAAATATTTCCTCGGCCGCATTATCAGTTTCCGCGATCGGGTAAAGTGCTCGAGGATTGCAAAACCCGAGGAAATATTTTGTCGAACCCGCCTCCGTAAAAATTCATATTTTCCTCCGTTCGACGAGGTTCCGGGAAAAAGACCGACTATTCCGTTCTGACATTGTTCGTAATTACTTTCCATCGGTCTAATCATTCCGAAAAGGTTTTTCACGATTTCATCGATTATTTCACGCGCTTCTAAGCAATACCCGGGCGCGTAATACCTATCCGATGAAAAATTCTAAACCCTCTCTAAACTATTGTACCTTGGACTTTTATTCCGGGTATTTTTTTTTTCATTTCTGGAATTCGTCGGCGCCCTTTTCCATGGGAAATAACGAGCCCCCCTTGTTTTTGTACGGTCTGCGTTCGTCAAAACGTACATCCCAACCAAAGTACACAGACCGGTGTAACGAGCACGATCAGTACGCGCGTGTTTAGGGCATTTCCCGTGGTTGAAAGCGCGCCATTGCGGGGCATAAATTGATTTCTACCGGCATTTCTGCGAGCCCCACACTCTGTATTTCCTCTTTCCGGGCCGATCGCCGAAGAGCTCGGGTTTAGTACCCGCCGATACGACCGATTGCTGGTTAAGCGATTCGCGGGATTTGGCTAATTAAGGTGTTTGCCCGAGCGAACGGCTTTTCCGGGGTCTCGTTAAAGCGGCCGGTTCGATCAGCTGATCAGCTGATCAGCTGATCGGAGCGCCACGCGCCGATCGAAAAGTCGCACCCCTTTTCGAGGGTTCCCGTAGAATTTCAGACACTTAATTATTAATTAGAAACTTAATTAATAATTAGACACTTACTTGGGGCTCCTTCCTCAGGGCTTCATGATGATGCTCGCTCGTGGTAAGCGATCTCTTGTGGATCCGGTTATGCGAGAGGAGGTAATAACTCTTCAGGGAGCCGATCTGGAAAGGAAAAAAAAATGTCGATCGTTAGACCCTTCATTTTTATAATAACATATTTCTTCTTGCCATGTCGTTAACTATCGGAGAATTTCATGTGACGTCGAATGAACTTGTATAAAATAGAAGTACACCTTTTTTAATTTAAAGTATTGCCATGTGTCATTTAATCAAGAGGCTTGTTTGAGTTTCGCGCTAAATGCACGTATAAGGACCAAACGAGGTTTTATGTAGCCTGGTGCGTCAGATGGTGCAGGAAATATTTTTCTCTTGAATTGCTAATTGAAATAATGCAAATTTTAACTATGTCATCAGAATGTTGTTTAGCTTTACTTCGAGTTTCAAAACTCATAGGGATCATTACGATAAGGTATTCCGTCGATCACCGATCTTTCTTTTCCGTTCGATCTACAGAGATCTAGGGAAATCATGTCATCCTATCATAATAAAATTTCATCCTATCAAATCATTCTATCATCCTATCAAATTCATCCTATCATCCTATCAAATAATAAAATTTCCGGGGTTCCTCGAAAATTCAGGAACGAGGCAAGACGGATTGCAGTCTAGCTGTACACCTTAAGTGGGAAAGTATCCGGCCGAGTTGCGGTTCGCCAAGCTGGATATTAATCCTCGGCCCGATTGCGCGCGTTTTGCCGAAGTCAGCGTTAGTTCCGCCGATTGAAGTTCCAAGTGGAACCCGGCCTCGTCGATTAGAGGGAATCATTCACCGGGCAAAGTTTCGATCGTTAGCCGCCCCCAAAAATGGATCGGCCCTCGAACTCCTAACTATCGGCTCGATCGGCTATCGGCCCCCTCGATCGACCCGGCCGAATCGAATCGGAAGTCCTCGATTCGTCTTGATGGCCGCACTGAACGCTGAAATCGACTCCGGTCGCAATTAATCGACATCTTTTCCCCCTGGAAAGCTTTACACGCCACCAGGAAGAGAGTGGCACGGAAAGCATAAGGCAAGACGAGCTCATAGATCCCGAGAAGCCGATCTTGCCGATCCTTTTCCAGCAATTCCTTTTCCAGACAGTCTCACGACGTCAAAACGAAAGAGTGACATGAAAATAAATCGGGTTGCCTCTTAACCCTTTGAGGCAGGGAATTTTAGAAAATAAAAAGGCCCGTGTTGCACAGAAATTTTATTTCCTTTTAAATTGAACTAAGTTGGTCTATTATCATTAATAAAGGAAAGACATAATATAAAAACATAAGAAAAATAATATTCACGGATTAAAAAGGAGGGAGACATTTAATACCACCGTGCTTTAAAGAGTTAATAGGAAATTTAGCCATTTTTACCCAACATCGTTATGTCATTCTGCACATGCAATCCGGCACGTCTCATCATATTTCCACGTAAAATAAATCTGCGATCAATAATATCGAAAAGAGGAAAAGAAACAAAGACCTGAACCTGATTTCTTAAGAGAGATATTTATATTCTTATGCTACATATTTATGATACGCTGAAAATAATCCAGTTTCCAGTTAAAGGTTAAATTCTAAGAGAAATCTGCAAAATTAACGAAAAATCTATTTCCTTCCAGCGGAACGAATTAGGTATTAATTAATAACGAATTCCCCGGCGCCGTCTATCACTTCTTGCCGCCTTCCCGGCAGTTTCAATTTAACCATTACTCGAAATACAATTCCCCGCAAAAAGGGACTTGTCCCCGAACTTATGGAGCGACCCAGTACGACCTCTGGGAAATCATAACTCGCCCACTTTCAGCTGTAAATAAATGTTTTATGCCGTCCTTCTCAAGTCCACGATGATTCCTTCAATAAATATTAAATATCACTGCCGACTATTTTTTTTTCTTTTTTTTCCCTCCTTGACAATTTTCCCGGCGATTAATCTCGACGGTTAAATTTCACCTTCGTCGTCGTAAATCATTTTACCGCTCGATTTGTCGGCGTTCGATATGCTGTTTGACGGAATTGATTGTTCTCGATTCTTTTGTATTTTTTTTTTAATTTTTTTCCTTCTTTCTTGTCTTCTTCGTTACGGTTTAAGATGGGACTTTACGGACTGTTGGCGAACAGGAAGCGATCGGCCCAGATCTGGCGAGAATGGGCAAGACTGGCCGAGAGCTTCCGAGAAGGCGATCGCCGGGTTTTTCACCGTCTGAGGAGCCGGGAAAGGCGTCGCGACGCACCGTCGGCACAGGACGCCGTTACGTGGACGCCCGGCGTCGCGGTTAACTCGCGGAATTGGATCGAAACGCGAGAGGCCGCGTGCCAACGTAAACGGGTAAGTGGGGTAATTCCGCATTGGCTGAACACCCGGACGCCGAGTGTCCCGTCTTTGCCCGAGTTCCACATTTCTATAACCGAGTTAGGGAACATGGAAGTACGGGGGAAAGAAATGAAAAAAAATCCCGAAAATGGCCGAAATTTTGCTGACATTTATTGTGGCGGATGATCGAGTACGTAAATTTGCCCGGGGACTTTTTATCAGGGTGTTCGGTCGTCTTGATTTTGAATAAAAAATAAAAAAAAAATGGGCGACTCGTCGTCTGGTATCGATAAAAGAGGAAACTTGGACGGGATGGAGTCGGGCAACGAAAAGGGAATCCGAAAAGTTGAGAATTCGAGACGTGTGCACAATCGCGGAGCGCAAGTAAAGGGGACACCATGCGTTTACGTATGCGCGTCACTCCTCGACGGGGTAAACTCGGCCACACCGGGCGGAGACGGATGCCGGATAAGGGGAAGTCTCCGTGAAATATTCCCCGGGTGTGATAGGTCGATGAATCAAGTGCGCCCGCGAGATATATGACGCGGGGAACGCGCCTCCGGAATTGTACTGAATTATAGAAATTCGAGCGGAGGCTGCCGGATCCGGACATCCCCCGGACGAGAAAAGTACCCTTGATCAATTGGGATTGATTTACGGTATCGATTGACAGAAGAACCATAAAAAATAGGATGAAATCATTGAAGAGTAGGGCAACCTTAAAAATCATGGTGTCGCATAAGAAAGCGACTAATTAAATGTGAAATTGAATATAGACCGGAATAAGGAGGGAGATGAAACAATGGACGAATTAACCAAGTCCATCCGAAGGGTGTCCGGAAATCGAAACAGGATATTAAATTTGGCTATCCGGGCGAGAAAAGTTGAAATTCACGATCAGCTGGCGTCGCTCCACGGTATCGGCTGAGATAAGATACAAAAAAAAAAGGAGTAGTATAGATTTCCCGAAAGAAACGACGAGCGTGAAAATTAAGATCGCGATTAATTAAATAAGAAGTTGAATATAAATCCGGGAATAAGGAGGGAGCGAAACAAGGGGCGAATTAATGGCGCCCATCCGAGGGGTGTCCGAAGGGCGGAAGAGGGTCCCGCGGGTGGACGCGCACGCGGGGTTAAACTCGGCCGCCCGGGCGGAGAAGAATGGGGCGGGGGTGGCCGGGGGGCGGGAAAGTCTCCGTAAGATATTCCCCGTGCGTGATGGGGCATGCTTCGCTAGTTTCACTAGCGCGGGCGATATAACTTTAGTGCCGGAAGGCTCTTTCGCATATTTCCGAGTTCCTCGGGCAATTTTCCGTCCGACTTGCCATTCACTTAACTCGCTCGAAGACGGCTAGGCGAGGGGAAGGGCGGAGGGGTCGGCCCGAAAGGGTTCTCCCGAGGGAGCGAAATACCGCCCGGGGCGGGACCTCCGGGAATTCGCTCGATCCCCGATCGTTAAGGGAGGAAGAATCTCCCGAAGATTGCCCGGCCTCGGAGATTGATTCGATTTTCTTCTGCTTCGTTTCTTTTCCTTTTCCTTTTTTATCCGCCCTCGCTGCACCCGGAAATGCCTATTTACCGGCACTTTCCCCATTATCGGGGCGGAATAATTGCGGGATGGGTCCTCGCTAGGGTCGTCCCAGGGATGGGCAGCCTTACCGATAATTACCATCGACGGGGTGATAACGATTTCTCGTCTCGAGGGGGCAAGGAACTCCCTTATGACCCCCCAAGTCGGCCGGGGGCGATCGCGAAATTATAACGCCGTCGTATGGGGCCCAGAGCACGTGGAAAATGGCCATGACGACGTCGGGCTTCCAATCTGGGGAGCTCCGATATCATTCGATCGCGGAGATTGCATTTTTCATATTCATAAGAAATTATCTCGTCTCGTTAAGGGGTGCAGACCCCCCTCGAAGACTGCAGGCCGCGGAAAGTGATTCGACTTTTCCTGGATTGCTCCATTCTACTTTCTCCTTCCCACATTTTTTTTCGCCACCTTTTCGTCATTAAAAATAATATATTTATATCCGATTTAATTGAGTATTCACTTTTTGAAATTTCATCCTTTTTTTATTCCTTGATAACTACCGTATGCGATAATCGTTAACAACCTCCATTACGTTAAATGTTCCTGGCACACGTTTATAGGCCTTACTTTTAATAAGAAATTATTATCGGAACTTCCAAACAGTCAACGATAATTATATCCTTGTATTAATCATCTATCTCGAACTGAATTACGCTTGCCATCATATTAAGAGATATTGAACTAATTCAAGTGGAACCTTTGGGAGGGAAATGTGTTACACGTGGTTAACGATTGTGCAAGTCCTTTCAATAAGGGATTTTTATATTTTCTTTTTGTCCCTTCCACCCCATTACGTCGAATATTTCAGACAGAGGGTTATCGCGGGGGTCTTCCGTGCCCGAATTTTCTTATCACTGATAAAGAGGAAAAAAAGAGAATTCGGGCCCGATTTATCGAGTGGAACCCGGCCGGAAGGGGGCACGCGGCGACTGGTCGGGGTGATAAGGCATGCACATAGAAAACGAGCCAACGAGTGTAGAGCCCCGCCGTCCCGGATAACGGAAGCATCCGAGGACCCACTAAATCAAACCCCTGAAGAATGTCTTACGATAACCTGCGAACTTGGGGTCATCGCCGCCCCCGCCGTGTCGTGGGGTTCCCGACCTGGGGCAACTCTGACCCTGAGGAGACCCACGTCATCGGGGGTCTTTGGAGTCTCAA